CCGAGTCTCCTCTTTCCGATGGTGCTCGGGATCTATGATCGGTACGTTAATGTCCCAACTATGGCAAAAATCCACTCAATGACTGAATCTTGATCAAGCCTCTTAGCTTGATTTTAGAGAGATGAGAGATGAATATGAAGAGAGCGGGAGAGATCTACTGGCAAGGGGTTCCACCCCTTTGCCCCCCATAAAAAACATAGGTGATGCATGCCACCAAAATATGGTGCAACTGGGAGAGAGATAAAAATTGGGGCGTGCCTCCCTTTGATAATCCAAAGCCCTTTCCAGAGAGAGTTAAATTTTGAGGTAGGGAGAGAGAATTCTTAAAGAGAGAGAAGAGAATACGTATCTTATTTTATAAAGGGATATATCTTTCTATAGATTTTCTATACCATATATTTTGCCTCAATTTGTAGGGACAAATCTCAACTGTCGATCTAAGAAGACTTGTGGGGTGAGAGATTTGAGACATCCATCTCTTTGATCCACCATCAAGATTGAAAGAGATGAGCTAAAAGCCTTATCTTCCATTTCCTAAATCTATTCCCATTAAATAAAAAAAAATTATATTTTAATATATCCAATCCTTAATTATTAGATCAACTAATCTTGATTCAAAGATTTAGTAAATATATCAAATATTCAACCTTATCACATAAGTTGGCTATACCTAAAAAGATAAGTCAACCAATATCATAAACATTATTCCCAATAATGTTACATGAATGGGTGGGGCGTGCCCCCTTTATGTGGCCACGTATGGGCCCAACCTAATCCACATCTTTTTCAATTTTGGGCCCCATATTTTATGGAGGTCTCATGTATTTTAGAAAATATTTTATTTCATTTTTAGAATTTTAAATCTTATATTTTATTTAAAACATTAAAAAATTAATTTCACTATATTTATAAATCCAAATGACAAAAATAAAATATCATAAGATTCATAAAATTTCAAATAAACATTTTAAAAATCACATAAGATGAAATTAATTAATTTTGATGGGAATCGGATCTGTTAGATCTAAGAAATTATCAATATATGGGAGCACTCCATCTTCAACTGCGAATTACGATCCGTCGAGCATTCTCAAATTAACCCAACAGTTCCCATGACCCACAGTCTACTGCAAGGGGTCATAATTTGACCACCAAAGTCAGTCAATAGACTAGGTACGTAATCACAGTTTATAGATTTCAGGTTGTCCCCTAGAGAAAAAAATCATGGTCTTCTAGACAACCATCACTTTATGATGCATATGGGTAATCTCTTGTTCATGTACACTTTTCACCCTCATTGGTGAATATCAAAACGACTTTCTATGTACATGTCGTGTGATGATATAATAATGAGGTTTTAGCCTTGTCTCTAAAGGCTATTCATCACACGCAAAGGCCACACAGTCCCTTCGCTCTCATCTGGGCGTACTCCAACCTCATAAAGCGATAACCCACTAAATCCTTCCTAGCAAATCCCTATGCCCAAGTATCTTGGGTTTTTCTAAACTTCGGCTAGCTTAACTCGTTGAGCCTAGTCCGAGTATCAATAATAACATTTGTCTAGTATGGTCCACAAAAAGATCACACTCCCACTGAGTTTATGTTCCACGATATAAAATGCTCATACAAGCTCTTATAAGGTCTTTAAAGGCCATATAAACCCAACATTATGTAGATACTTGTATAATGTACAGACATATTAGTGCTCCCTTATACATATATCTCACCAAATCGATGTGGTATCTGAAAACTCCTTTCTTTTCTAATACCTAGCAAATTAAATCTCGATTTACTATATCATAAGATTTCTCTAAATCAATAAAGACAATATGGAAGTTTTTTCCTTTTGCCGTAAACTTCTCAATCAATTGCTTAAGTATGCAAATAGCCTCAATTGTTGATCTCCCCAGCATAAACCTGAATTGGTTTTCTGATACGCTATTTTTATGCCTTGGTCGATGCTCAATCACTCTCTCGTATAGCATAGTGTGGTTCATAAGTTTGATTTTTCGATAGCTCGTACAATTCATTATATTTCATTTTTTGTTGTAAATAAGTATTACAATACTTTTCCTTCATTCATATGACACCTTTTTTGTTTCTGTTCTCCACACGTTGTTTAATGGCTTGGTCAGCGAGTCAATGTCAGTCTCCCCATACACTTCGAAACCTCTATCAAGATACGTTCTGGTCCTAAAGCATTTCTTAAGTTCATCATCTTCAAAGCTTCTTTCACTTCTGATAACCTAGTCCTACGAATGTATCTATGACCTCCACAATCATTTATGCCAACGGTTCCTTATACCGTTGTGTTCCCGTTGTATTCATCATTTAATAATTTTTTAAAATAACATCTCCATCGTTCGTTGACATCTTCATCCTTCACCAAGACCTTTTTAATCTTCACTCTTAATACATTTAATTTGGTTTAAATCCCTACACTTTTTCTCTCTCATTTTTGCTAATTTGAAGATATATACATTTCATGTTTTCTTGTTCTTAATTTACTGTATCTATTATCATATGTCCTAAGTTTGGTCTTACTTACTTTGTTTTTAGATTTTTCTTAGCATTTTTATATTTTCCTATGTTTTGATCATTTCTATTATATTTCCAAGTTTATAACATGATAGTTTTCACTAATGACCTCCTGAACCTCGTCACTTCATCATCAAGGTTTTTTTGTTGGAATTTCTTTTCCCCCCTAGCTTCTCTTAAAACTTCTTCTGCCACTTTCTTAATACAGTCAGTCATTTCATTCTACATAATATTGATCTCATGATTATGGTTTCGTTCTTTTTCTTTTTTTTTTAACATGTTCACTATAGTTACATTTTCCTTCTTAACTAATTACCTCTAAATTAGACTATTTTATTATTTTTTAAATTCCACCACCTAGTTCTTGGACATCTATTGCTTTCACCCCTTCTCTTTCATCTCTTTATGTAGATCTCCATAACCAAAAGCATATGTTGTGTAGTCAAACACTCTCCTGGGATAACTTTATAGAATTTAGATAATAGTCGATATACCTTCTTAACTAGCAAGAAGTCTATCTGGTTTTTATATGATCCACATGTTATGAAATGTCCATCTTACTTTGTAAAGTAAGTGTGTGCTATTATTAAGTCGTAGGCCACAACAAACTCTAGAATAATTTCACCCATCCATTCACTAATACCATTTCTTCACATCCTCTTCTATATACGACTATGTAAGTCCCCTCCTAAAAAGGTCATCTCTTCATTCGGTATGTCTTGGACTGATTCATTCGTCCTAAAATTATCTCTTAATTCTATCCTCAAATCCTACTTGTGGTGCATAAGCACTAATTATGTTAAGGGAAATTATATAATGAGACAATTTTCTTCCTGGCTAATAGCACATTCTTCATTGAAGATCGGACCTTTTTCTTTCTTTTCATCAAGGTTGTGTATCTCAGTATACTATTGAAGCTGAGCATATTACATGTAGCATTGCTACTACTTATGCTATCTGGATTAGAAGCTTCATAGAGGATTTGAAAGTAGATATAGCCGACATACCAGTTAATATTTTTTGTTACAGTAGAGCCTACAACTTCAAGGGTGAACACATTTAAATTAACTATTATTATATTTATAATATCATTGAAAAGAGTAAACTAGCCATGAGTCATTTACCATCTGCTGATATGAGTACAGACATTTACCATCTGCTGATATGAGTATAGACAAATAGATTAAGTGCTGCCATATTTTCAGATTATGTAACTTTGATGGGACTTTGGAATATCGAAATTAAGGACTCCCCAATGGGGATATCTTTCAATTCCTTAGTCATGAGACGAAAGACCGTATTAGCATGAAAAACCCCATAACAAGATTATGCATGATTTTTATTCATAAGATATATAACCACACTTGCGTGGAAAGCTTCATGACAAATATATGCTTAGAAAAGTTAATCCGTTAAGCAGTACTGACTGTAAGGTCTATAAATGTATTCAGTCGTCATGGCCAAGTGAGAGATATTGGTACGCGTATGACCATAGGGCCTCAAATGTGCCACATATTTTATTGATTTGCCCTCTTTAATATTCTTCCAAAAAATTATATTATTTCTGAGTCATGGATTCTGTTGGGTTAGTTTGAGAAGATGACAATGGGATACAATTTCTAGAAAAGATGGAGTGCCTTAGTATTTTTGTATTCTTCTTGACCCTTTTACATCCAATTCCTATGATATTCATTTTAATATCTTTAAATTTTTTTTATTTGAATTTTGAAATATTAAAATGAATTTTTAAAGGCCTCTATTTATTTTATTTGGCAAAAAAGAATTTCAAGTGACCAAAATCGAATTTTCAGGATTTTAGACATTCGGACAGAAATAAAAATATAATTTGGACTCTAAAAACTATTTTATTAATTTATCAATTAATTAGAAGGTATGGGGCCCCATTTATTATAAGAGCCCACCATATGGAGTCCTTTTAGATAGGGGTATGGGTCCCACTTACGATTCACATGGTTGGCACTCCCCATCTCTTTCTTTTCTCTTTCCTTGAATTGATAAATAAGTCTTCTAGAAGGGACTTTGTTTATGGTATAATTTAAGAGAAATGGCTTGATTGATTTCAAAAAGAAAATTTTTTGGATTGATTAAAATCAATACAAATTATTTGATTTTCTCTAAATCAATATTTGATGGGCTTAGGGTTCGGGAAATTGAGGAATAATGTTCTTTTTAATCATTATGGCTATTCTAAAAAATGTAAAGTTAAGACCTCTTTACCCCACATGTTTCCAAAATTGACGGTCAAAATTAAAACTGCATAATGATCGAAAACACTAATATCATCTGTCGAGGATGGATTGTATACACAATTGGTATTGAACACACTCTCTCTCCCCAGCCTAGCAAGCCCCACTCTCTTCTCTCACATCTCATCTCTCTCTAGGGTTAGAGTATAAAATAAAATAAAAAAAGGGGGCACGCCCTAGCCATTGGTAGTTTAACCCTAGCCTTATAGAGAGACCATCTCCCATATTCATATGCTCTCATATTTTAAGTGGAGTTTTGCGTAGGCCAGTAGCGAGTGCTTTGCTGTGAGACAAGGTTTCGGACTGCAATGGCATGTGCCATCGGTGGAGGGATCCGGAGTGGGTGTTGGAAGTCCTTGGGGGTAACCCATACCAAGGTATTTCAATATCTTTCTTTCCATGCTTTCTTGATCTTAAAGGTTTATGTTGTATAATGTTTTTATGAGTTTAATTTAGTTTTTGCAAGTGAGAATCCTTGATCTCATGTTTACTTATTTCTTAGATTAAAAGTTGTAGTTTAGACCCATGTAAGTGATATAGGCTGTATAACAAAGAAAGAGAGATTTTTTAAAGCCACATATACTTTCTTAGATCATGTAGTCCAACTTTTAAAGAAACTACTTCTTTGTGAAGATCAATTACTGATTTCGATTCATGGAAACGAATTTTAAAATTTTTAATTTGTGACCAAGTGTGTAATAAAGTTTATAAAAGAGCAGTCGTGCATGTGAATGACTGTTTCATATCAAGCAAGTGCACGATCAAAAGAAAGCACAAAACGAAGCATGAGCACTAGGCACGATTCCTGCCTGGTGCGATGTGCCTTGAGCCTGCTAGAATCCATGCAAGGCACAATCGGAGTAAAGGGTCTAGTGACACTAGAGAGTTTATCAATCAATTTTTAAGTGAGTAAACTGTAAAACATGAGTTTTTATAAACGTCTAATTTAAAAAGAATGTTACTACCAGGGCAAAAGGAAAAAAAGCGTTTCCCTCAAAGTTCCAAGGGACCGCATTGGGATCTCTTAGCTAGCTTTTCGGTTTTGGGCATGAAATTTGACTTATCCGCCATCAAGGGGTGGATCAATCTAAGTCGTCCGTCCACCAGCAACACGGATCGCATACCGATCAATGTGTTTTGGAACTTCAGCAATGTGCTTCATGTAATTGGTAAGTGGTGGGTTCGGATACATGGTTCATCCTCCCACCTCTTTTTTGAGTGTAGGTTGGGGTTATGCGGTCTTTTTTGGGTTTCATGCGTTTATTTATTGGGCAAGCTTTCCATGCTTCCCCTAGATTATAAAACTTATATATTTTCTCTTATCCAACTATTCATTCTGAATGGACGGCTGAGATTGCCCCAGTCACAATGTCACGTCTTTATACTATTTTATTTTTAATTTTTTTCTATAAACTATTTTGACACCAAATTTTAGATGTCCAATTCTCTATTAAACTCGCACTAGCTAAAAATATTAAAAAAATATTTCCAATAAAATAAAATAACCAAAATACCCCTGAAAGTTTCAAGAGGTATTTTAGTCATTATATTTTGAGCAAAAAATTATTTTTAATATTTTTTATAGGTGCACCCCAATTAGAATATGACACGTACCAAATTTCATATTCATACAGTTTGTATAAGAAAACTAAAAATAAAATACTTTGAGACGTCAGATCTAAGATCAAATGGTGAGTGACTCTCTTGATCAAAATTGGACGGCTGGATGATAAGGGAAGCAAAGATCTTCTATGTTGTAGGGAAAGTATAGAAACCTTTCCCTTATTTATTTTTCAACATTTTCCTTTTAGTTTCAGTTTGTTTATTTAATTAGAAGGATTATTTAATTGTTCAAACTTAGGGTTTGTGCCATTAAGATGGTAGGGCCTGATCATGTTGCGAGGTCTCCTAATCTAGGTTTAGTCTGAGGGTTTTAGAGTGGGTTAAGCAATATTAGGAAGGTCTTTCATCCCATAACATGCATGACCCCATATGTTTTTCATCCCTACTCAGATTTAGGATTTGTCAACAATAAATTTGGACCCCTAGGAGCGAATTTTCCCCAAACCAGGATCAAATTCGAATTTCTCATCCTCCTTAGTCCAGATCTAGTCATTCCCTCACTACTAAGTTGTTAGGGTATCTCACTGAAAAACATGCACCATTCCATTAGAAATACTTATGTTTCAAAACCATCTAGGGGTGCGGATTGGTAGATTCAGGATTGGATCAGGCCACACCCCTACCCAACCTTGCATATCCCAAGGGTCAACCCAGACCTAATCAGATTCAAGATGTTCGGACCCTTACCCAACACACTGGGTCAGGTTATATCAAGGTTAGTTGGGTTGGGTCTTCACTCTGATCCGACTCCACAGTCGCGTCTGTAATTCAAGACCTGGACCAACCCACGCAGTCTAGTAGTTGGACCCAGACCTGGAATTAGATCAGCCGCTGAGTGGACAAGTTGACTTGTCCTAGTTACCGGGGCCTCGTTCCATCTGACCCACAATACAAAGAAACTTGGATTCAATGTCAGCACTAAAATGATATATATAAGCAGTGCCCGGATTCATGGATAATGCTGCACACAGGCTTATTTGTGATTGAGGTGAAACTCTATTTTGAAGAAATGGCCACCCGATATGTGTCGTCTCCTGCACAAAAGATTAAGAAATCACTTTGATATTGGCCGCAAAAATTACAGCACAAATCAGCCTTTGCATATAAGAATTATTGCTTCAACATCTTATAATCGCATCCAGACATGGCCTTACGTAAATAATCTGATTAATAACGGTGAGGAAAGGCCTTATGAGCTGTCGGGCCCAGTGTATAAAGCACGACCTGGGTATGGGATTCGGCCCATGCCGGAGCTGAGTAATTTGGGTGGAGTCCAAGTTACCCGGCCTGAGTCAAGCTGGGTCCTAGTAAGCTAAAAAGTGTTAAAAGGATAAAAAAAATCCCAAGGATAGGAAAAATGTGTTTGAAGTAAAATGAAACAGAAAAAGAGGTCAAAAAATCAAAGGGGATATTTTAGAAATAATACAAAAAGAAGGGAAAATGTAAAAATAAGTATTCAATGCCGAAACACTTTCCAATCCTTCCAAAAATGATAGAAAATATAAAAAAATATTATGAATAAATTTATTACTTTTTTGGACTTTTTATTTTTTTATAAAATTTTGTAATTTTATTTAAGATTCGTGAATCGGACCACCCAACTCAGAGATACTCCGACTCACCAGGGTGGCGAGTCCAAGTTGGCTCGCCCTAGTTTTTGCACATTGGTCGGGCCTACGAAACAATGTGGAGCAGATGAGTCAGATTTGAATCTCTACTAATTGAAGGAAGGACTACCATATGTGAGCACCATTTAACTTTCCACCTTTTTTTTTTTGTTTTTTGAAATGGTAAGAATTTTATTGAGAAAATGAAGAGTTACAAGAACAAAAAAGAAAAGAAAATAAATGATCAAAAGCCCAAGCCAGCTTGAACCAAGAGAGCCCGGCTACAATAAAGCTCCCTCTTTAGCAAAAGAATCTGCCTCCATGTTACGATCATGAAAGATGTGGTGAAAGGCGACCTCGCTGCCCTGCAGTCCTGAGACAATGACGTCCATGGTGGACGTTATGGCCCATGGCACTGAATCTGGATTTCTGCACCAAGATATGGTTGGCTGAGTCCCCCTCAATAATGATTCTAGCATCTCTAGGTTATAGTTTTAGAATCCCTTATTTCAAAGCCCTTACTTATCTCGTTAATGTCGCAAATATGGGATCTTCCTTGATATTGTCATAAAACCTCTCCATTGGAATCACGGAGAAGACCACCATAACCTGCTAAACCCTCTTGAGGCCTAAGACTGCCATCGAAATTTAGTTTGAGTCCTCTTGAGGCCTAAGACTGCCATCGAAATTTAGTTTGAGTCAACTGGAAGGTGGTCTCTCCCAAAAAGCACTTCAAGATGGTTTCTGATTACCAAAGTACTCTAAATGTATTTTGTTTAATATTTTTTTGTTAAAAATATTTTTTATAATTTTTATTTGATTTTGTTGTAAAATTAAAAGGGAAATTGTGAAATATATCCCCTATAGTTTCTTTTATTTTTATGTTACCTTTATTTTTCATTTAATACATCCCTACACGTTTTCTAGTGATTTTTACATACAAGATACTTTTACACTCGACACGGATGCATTACATTCATGGTGCTCTTTAAACATACCCTTGCCACGGCTCCAATGGCTCGAAGGGTTTTTGGAACCCTTTGGCCCGGCTTCCTGGTGCTCTATAAATCGTCAGTGACAAAGCAGGTTCGTGACGGTCTTGCCACGACTCTAATAGATTCGTGGCGGTTCGAAGGGTTCCTGGAATATTTCGGTCAAGCTTCTTAGTGCTCTGAGAAGCCTATAACTGTCACAGACAAAGCAGGTATGTGACGATCTCGCAACGATTCTAATAAGTTTGTGGCCGCTCGAAGGGTTCCTGGAACCCACTGGCTAGGCTTCATGGTGCTCAATAAGCGTATGAATCTCACCACAGCTCTAATAAGTTTGTGGCGGTTTATTAGAATAATAGGGGCAAGGGTATGTTTAAATATCGCACAAATGTAATAGATTCGTGGCAGGGGGTAAAGGTGTCTTTTATACAAAAATTTCTAGAAAACATGTAAGGATGTATTAAACGAAAAATAAAGTTGACTTTGAAATAAAGGGCGCTATGGGGATAATATCTAATAATTTTTCAAATTAAAATACAACTTTAAATTTCAAATAATATAATTTTAAATAAAATAAAAATAAAAATAAAGATAAGACATTTTTTTATAACATTTGAATTAGGCAAGGTTCAATATATTGAAAAGTGCTTGTGATGTAAACCGCTATTAGAAAAACCGGATAATCTAACAGTTTTGGGCGGTTTTGGGGATCGATCGGTATTTTTAAAAAATTTAAAAAATGTATATATAAATTCTCAAAAATAAGGAATTTGGTTTGTAATATATTTTTTAATATTCTTTACATTATGGTAATGATTAAAAATTGTTTTGGTCGTTAATATTCACTTTAATATTTTCTCATATTTTTTTACAAAATTTTAAAAATACTTTTTGGGCACAAATTGATTTGTTAAAATCCATTTCTTTCATTAATTTTCAACATCATTTGAATGTATTTTATTTTAATCATTTTTTATATACTTTTCACATTTTAGTAATTTTTTTTATCATTTTTAACACTTTTTTAATCGTCTAGTACTTGCCTGGTTAGATCAGTTGAATCGACCGATTTATCGATTAAACCTGGTAAACCGCTTCTTGACCCATGTCGGTTAACAATTCCAATTTAATTTTACAAACACTTGCAACCCCGGT